TACAATAGGGCCTTTGATGTCCCTTCCTTCCTTACATGGCAATACTATCAAGGGGTTGGAATTCCTTAATATTTTCTACTTATAATTAATAGTAATTATAATAACAATCAATTATGCTTAGAACCTAATCCAGTCAATAATACTGTTTCACTACTGTCTACATTTAATCAGCATATTCCCACACCGTCCAAATTTTTGTATTCATCATCTCAGCAGGTATTTAAAAAAATAAATAATTAAACTGACTCTTGTCTCTCTGTTTAAGGTTATGCGGATATTTTAATATCTTGCTTATATTGAAGCGAATGATATTCAACTGCATCTGTTTGTTTTTTCGGTGAGATGGAGGTAGGGTAGGGGGTTAGTGTTGTTGTCATTCATTCATTCGTTCAATCAATAATTCATGTTGTAGTAGTTGTAGTGTTTTAACTATTCGAGAGAAAAAAGGTATCTACTTCATTTTTCTTTTATTTGTTTCCTTTACAAAAAACAAGCGAATATTCATCAATTAGAGATAATGAATACCACACAAGCAACATACTTGCACACACACACACACACACTGCTATGTTTACTGTCCTCTTTTATATTCTGATTTTTTGACTCTGTCTTCTGACCTTAAGTTCGTTTTGTCATTGTTATAATTTGTGTTTTTTGTACTGTTTTGAAAATCAGCTTTAATTTACGAATTTTTAAATTGATAAAATTTTTAACCTTAAGTGACAGACGAATAAGTGGGCTCGGGAAAATCAAACAACTGCTTTACTTGGGGTTTTAAAGTAATACATTACACACCGATGGATGAGGTTAAAAGTAATCAAAGGGTGTTTTCGCGCATAGCATATCAAACCCCACCACAGATGATATTCCAGCTGTAGGAAAAAAAGATCCATAAATCACCTCCAAAACAGCCAAACGTGTAACATCTGGTGTGATTACAGCAATTCTACTCTAAGCATGTGTTATGCGCAATCATATAAAACGAACTACTTGAGGAAATTCAAGTGGTAATTGATCACCCCGCTCCTTCCGATGTTCTGTCCATTCAAGTAGGCGGAAATGATAAAAAAGAGGATTAAATTTGTTTCCGAACGTTAATTCACCTACTAACCCAACAGTCATCTCTCTATTTAGTAACTGAGTATAATTAGTTGTGAATAGTGTGTGGACGCCCCGATGACCTTGAACGCGTATCATTCGTTGGATTGCAGAACCAGCCATTAGTAGTACAGTGCCAGCATGAATATTTTACACACCAACTGCTGTGCAAATTTCATCTTGATCTCGTTTTTAAACACTGTTTGGACATTGAGTTGATAGTACGTTAGGGTTATGATTTGTATTAGGGTTGCAGTTAAGGTTAGGGTGGGGATTATGGCTAAGGTAAGTGTTAGGGTTAGGGTTAAGGTAAGGTTTAGGGTTAGAGTGTATCTGTATACTTCTTGTAAATAAATAATTGAGAGGAGATTATTTCGTTGTTCATATATATGAAACCGTTTTGATAGCTATGAAGCTTGGAAACTGGTGTCCTTCATTGTAATCGGGAAGTATTCTTCAGTTACTTCAGGGTAAATTATCATGATTAGTGTGTTTCTTTATTATTATTATGTTAATTTTCCTCATAAATAAACGGCTTTTTGATGTAGAATATACAGTCGATTCTGTAAGCCAATTAATGGTATGCCTTCAAGGTTTTTGATGCATTCTAACTCCGTAGTCGATATTCTTTATATTGTTCACTAGTTGATAGTAAACTTTTATGTATAGTTTTGAATTTCTCTCACTTTTGCTGTTCAACTTCTCATCAGTTAGGTTTACAAGGACTTTTGGTTGAGTTGACTTCCTCTTGCGGAACTGTGTTTCATTGGTCTAGACACTCGATTTTGATAGGTCATGGATTTGGACTTGGTGAATTTTCGAAATGTATTTGCATATCCGTTAATTCATTGGTTAAATTTTTAGTTATTGATATAATTCATTTTCCATTCACACATGAATAGGACTCATTCTTAGAAACTCAGTGTGCAGCACGTGTTGCTACGTCTTCAAAGTCAATAGTCTTCATCAATGAGTCATAGTAGTGGATTTAGGATTAGGTTGGCAAGGATATTGGGGTAGTCAGAACAAAATATGGTACCAATTCATAAAATCATTGACTGTTAGTTAATCTTAGCTGCCCAGTTATGTGTAGTTAACTTGTCTGGGGTAGTCAGGAGTGCCAATAGTCAGTTGTTGAAGACTCTTGATGTGCTACCCGAAAATGTTTTATTTTCCAGGTTTATAAACCACTCAATTATTGCATAAGGGTTGAAGTAAATAAAGTCGGATTCGAACTCGAGATCTACTAGCCAAAACACGAGTGTATAAGCCAGTAAGCACCATCTCCAACCGTATTTACTAGCTCTGTTGTAAGGAATCAGTATACTGCTGTATAAACATACATAATCCAACTTATTTACTGAATGACGAATATCATGATTTGATATCGCTGCAACAGGTCACCAAAAGCTGACGTGTCACTTATATATTCTACCTATTTCAGGAAATAATTTTGTTGAGCGAGAGCAATCCATTGTTATTATTTCCTTTAATTCCTAGAGGAATATAGAGCTTCAGCCACGCGTCTCCATTGTTTTCGGTTGTCTTCTAGGGTTTTCACCTGACTCCAAGTCTGCCCACATGCTTTCATCTCCTCTTCACACGACCTCCTCCAAGTCACCTCACTTTTGCACTGACGACCAACTCGCCGCTTCCCTTTCGGGTTCCACGCGAGGGATGGCTTGTCTAGTGATGTCACTTGATGGTTTTCTCAGAGTATGGCCAGTCCACCTCCATTTCTTCCTGAATATTTGTTGTACAGTCGGTTCCTGCTGCGTTGGTCTGCTCCCAGGGATCCTTGTTGGTGATCTTTTCTGGCCGGCCATCTGATCTTGAGTAGTATTGAGCGAAGGCAGCTGTTAATGTGAATGTCTGTAGTTTGTTTGATGTGCTCTTTGTGACGCGCCAAGTCTCTGACTGACTTCACATTGGAGTTGAAAATCCGGATCTTATTTTCATTTTCATGCTGAGTGCTGTTGACCTGACATACAGACCAATCCATACTCATTCATTTTTTATTTAGAAGAGTAGTTCATCGAAATCAACTAGCCCATATAAATGAAATTTATCTCAAGATAACACTAATAAAACAAAGCTTAGATAAACACATACCATACAGTTTTTGTGCTCTCGTCATACATACTCTAATCTTGTCAGCGAAAATATCCAGATTACTCTGTCAATGGTTTTGTAATTTCACATATTTTTCTGAACTATGTATTATGCTTATATCTGTTCATATAAAATTTCTTTATACTAATCTGTGTATTATGTAATCTATTAATTCAGATGATCAAAAGTAGTCAGATTTGTATTATTTAGTATTTGGAAACTCACATATATGAGATTCATTCGTGCCTTGATTACTTGTGATATATTAAGGGGCCTATATTATATCGTTGTACGCGAGTTCTTTTGTGTCTTAGTGGAGTAGACATTCTAGAGTGTTCATAGGTGTGCATAAGGAAAAGCCAAAGTAGTTCAGATATTTACAGTGACTTTGTGCAAATTGTCTATTGTTTTCTATGAAAAATCTGGTACTATACATAAATTCCTTTGTATTGCAGTGATGTAAGCTATGAATCCTGTGCAATGGAAAACGAGTAGGGCACAATAGATGCTTTTATGCAATTCAAGACTGAACTGGTTGACTGTGCATTGTAGTTCCCTTGGGTTCCGAGCGGAGCATAGGGCTTCAGTAGCATATTGCCCATCTTCTTTCTCCCTACGGTTATCCAAATGATTCAGTCCATTACAATCAGAAAGTATCATCAGTGGTAGCAGACAGCTTTGTTAAACGCTCCTACCCTCATTTCAAAGACTTCACTGAGGTTTTCGTTGCAAACCATTTGACGTGTGTTATCATCGTAAACCGTTGAATTAGGGTTTATGAAGGCTTTGACTAAATGGCGATACCTTAAATATAATTCTTCGACAATCCTTTTCCTTTCTTCAAAGTGTGAAAGGTTTGAATCAGATGATTGTGGGAAATGTTTGTTTCCTCTGTTACTTTTTAATAGATCTATTATTGTTATTGATTATTCAAGTGTTGGTTTGTAGGGGTTTGGTTGGTTACAGGATTTCATCATGAGCTGACATTGGTTAGAGAACCATTGGAAAACCTGGGAGAACTGGACAGCTATTTTGTCCTAGTTCGGGACTCTTCATCAGCACGCACCCACCGGGGTTCGAACCCAGGACCTTTTGGTTACAAGGCGAGTTCGTATATCATTCAGCCACTGGGACCCTATTCAATGGCCAGCTCATGAATTCTGACTTCTACCAATTCATGGCATAGCGCGACCCCTAGCCACTGTCTTCGGCAGGTATTTGTCCTCACACCCGACCTGCTGCACCTCATTGCTTGGCACAACAATGCTGCAGTTTCAGTTGCCATACTCCATGTAGTATACAAAAGGTAGGAGTAAAAGAAAGACGAGATTCAAGACAACTATGATGAGCAGAAATGTAATGTACATGAAAAGGAATACTAACAGGGGAAAAATCTTGAGAATTTAATGGATATTGGTATTACGAAGCCTAAATGTGAACGATTTTCAACCATATTACTGAGGTGCCTAACCAGGGAGTCTATACCTCCCTATGTGACTGTATGAAACCAGCAGTCGTCACATGGATACTGACCACTCCTAATTCTTTTCCGAGGTAATTCTATGTCAGCTAACATTACTCACCGAGGAAGGCAGTATCTCAGTATACGCAAGGTGTCCTAGTCACCTCCATCGATGTAGCTTCACAACTTCACTTTACTTGCTGGTGGTTATCTAACCGCCTTTCATGTGTAGACGAATCTATGTCGTGATTTTTTTTTCATTTATTTTCATTTACATTTCTCTACTTGTTTCTTTGTTATTTCTCGTCTTCTTCTTCTCCTTCTTCAGGTTTATTCAGAATATCGATCGAAACGTGAAGCCTATCTAACTCAATTGGAGAATTTAATTATTCAATTACCTGTATCCAATTATACACTCTTAAAGCATTTATGCCAATTCCTTTATCGTGTATCCATATATCAAGCTGAGAATAAAATGTCATTTGAATCATTAGGTATTGTATTTGGACCGAATGTATTTCGATTTACACCAGAAAATATAGTGAGTGCGCTTTCCTTTTGTTATATATAAACTTATACATTTTTATTAAATACTTATACACAGCTCATAATCTTCAATGTGTGTGTGTGTGTGGGTTCACTCTGATCTGCTGTTTTGATGTAAGCTGAAATCTAAATACGAACTAAGTGTGTGACAGACCTGATGATATAAGAAAATGAAGAAATTTGTGCAGAAGTACATTAACTCAAAACTGCCAAATCTGTCTTCAACAGCCCGTAAATACCTCACTAAGTCGATGATGATTGAGTAAAAAATTTCAAATTCCTAGAGTGTGTTTGAAGGCGAAATCGATCTGTTTTATTGTTAGGAGTTTCTGATTATCAGTGTATTTAATTTCAAAAAAGAACAGACACTTCCAGCTTGTCTATCAAGTTATTTCCATTACAACTTAATGTGTTTAGATTTAGCTTTAAAATAATACTTTCAAAATGTTGATTTCCAGGGATTTGGTCACCAGTTGACTTGGTTTAGAGAACCACTAAAAAACTAGGGAACACTGGACAACTGTTTCTTATGGGTTCTGGACTCCTGAGCAGTACGTGACTATGACCTCTTAAAGGGTCAAACCCCCAGACCCTTAGTTTAACCCTTAGGCGAGCTCGTTGACCATTCAAGCGGCTGTGACGGATTCTGATGGCCCGAACTTTTGGGTTCGATTCCTTGGGTGCATAATGCTGAAAAGTCCAGACTCAGGGTGAAACACCTATCTAGTAGTACTTTGTGGCTTACAACGATTTTCTAACTGAAGTCATTTTGTGATCAAACTTGATACGTATCGGTGAATAGTCTCCATTCAGATATTAATGGGAAAAACCAAACGATTAGTTCAGTGAAGGGCCTATCATCAGCCAATTAATGTTTTTAGCCATAAACTCACATTGATGGACACATTTTTTTCCACAAAAGACATGAGTTGTCATAATCACAGTTACTGATATAATCAATACGTAAGAGTGATGGTGGAATAAAGCAGTTCCAGTTACGTAACAATTAGACAGTTTGTCTCATTAGAGAAAATACTGACCAGAGAGAGAGAGAGAGGTATACATGTTTTGTTTACGTCATCGCCAATGAGTGCTGTCCATTCCCATTGTTTGTTTTCGTAAAGATCATAATGTTACTACTGTGTTGTGATTGAATACCTTTAAAATTCAAAATTGGTTTTGTTAGATTTCCCAGTGAGTTTATTAGATTTGCACTGGATTGACATTATTCTCAATTTGTATTATGAAGTAATCAGTTGTTACGATGTGTGTGTGTACACTGGTCATCTGATTCAGACAAAAGTCGAAGTATTTTGCAGCGTTCATGAAGACTAATTTAATTCGTCTTTATTTCTTGAATTTATTGTCATTTTTGTTTGAATTTCCCACTGGTATCTGATGATAAATTGGCTGTTATTCCATGGAATACACCTTAAGGTTAACATGATGTGTTACTTCTTTGGTAGTGGTGACTAGCCAGCATAATCCAGAACATGCGTCAATAGATGCTGAGCATCTGAGTCCAATAGGAATAATCAACCAGAAATTCGACTAATAGTAATAATAATAATAGTAATTTCATAAATGCATAAAACTGTATAGCACTGATTGATTTGAGTGAGTAGTTGTATACCCCTCCTATCAAACAGTAATGCTTGCTCTTTATTCATATTGAAGTGGCTGCTTCACTCGTTTGAGGCTAAGGTCATCAGCGGTCCAAACGAACCAGCTTCTGACTGGCTACTTGGGCGAACTGGTGATACTAAAAGGTTAGAAGACGAAGACACTTGGTAAAGGAATGTTTATTTGGAAATTAGTATCTCTATAATGCCAAATTACGTATGCCTTATCTTCAACGAACCATTTTCACAGATCTTAGTGTTATGGTACTTCTGGCCTCCATACTGTGTTTCTTTGTGTTCCTTTCGTGTCTCGCATGTATCTCCGCAAGGCTGTAGCACTTTGTTTCTGTGACATTAAATCTATCTCCCTGCTATTTGATGTTTTTACGCCGATGAACATCTCTTTATATACATACTCCTGAATAAATCTTATCATTAGGACACGCCACGACACCATAGATCAAATTCTCAATTTACGCACTTTGACCAGGTGAAATTTCACCTCATTTTCCCTTTGGAAACGGAAATAATTCAATTAAGAATCTATTATCTGCCTAATACTATAAATAGTAGTCAAGAAAGCATGCATGAGAACATTGCCCGTTGATGTGAGTGGTATACAACTGTCTCATCTCAATCAACCACTAGTATATTGATTACTAGATATGCTGTGAATCTTGTTTTCCATAAGGAGGACTGTGGTAGACTTTCACCTCCTCATTAAATAGTTATTTCACAGCAGATAACATTTATAGTCCCATCCCATAGCAGAGGTGGCTGTTTTTTAGTCCACTTTATAAGTGGATAATGCTTTTGCTTTTCAGTCGATATATATGTGTGCATGCATCCATGCATGCATACACGCCTGATATTACTCCACAATTACTAGTTCTCTCTGCAAACATTTCCACTTTATGCAAATACTTTCATCATGCTGTGTTATATTATCTGCTATCTGCCTGTCACATGAAGAAATATTTTTTACAATTAGCAATGATTGCTAATGTATTGTGGATTCTAATTTTTTTTGAAAAAAATTTCACCATCATATAATGTGAATAATGACAGTTTGTATTGTTTCATATATATGTGTGTGTATGTATGCATTTGTTGGTGTGTGTGTGTGTTTGTACTACATTAGAGTTGGCGTTAGACAACGAAAAATAAGGTGGTGACATTTTATTTTAGTTTTTGATCGACATGTTTTGAATAACAATTGGATAAGCCAAGTGGAAATGCTTGTTGTTGTCATGGCGCTATGAAACATAAGGCTTTAACTTTTCTTCCTTTTAAACTCAATTTTATTGATATCAGTTGTAAACTGATTCGATGTGGCTGAAAACTAAAGTCTGTTTGGTGGTGGTGGTCACGGTGTTGCCTGATTTAGCGTCTGTATGTTTTAATTACAGTTATCTGAAGCAAACATCGATTGTAATTAAGTCGAATATATCTGTTGAAAAATCGATTAACAGAGTATAAAGATAAGTTATATCGCTAGAATAATGCAGGCCGAGCCATCACCTTCTACGTTGGACAATGTTAGCCGAAATTATTATTATTATTTCCTTAATTCCTAGAGGAACATAGGGCTTCAGCCACACATCTCCATTGCGTTCGGTTCTCTGTTAGAGCTTTCACCTGGCTCCACGTCTGCTCACATGCTTTCATCTCCTCTTCACGTGACCTCCTCCAAGTCACCTCACCCTTGCACTGACGACCAACTCGCCGCTTCCCTTTCGGGTTCCACGCGAGGGATGGCTTGTCTAGTGATGTCACTTGATGGTTTTCTCAGAGTATGGTCAGTCCACTTCCATTTCTTCCTGAATATTTGTTGTACAGTCGGTTCCTGCTGCGTTGGTTTGCTCCCAAGGATTCCTGTTGTTGATCTTTTCTGGCCATGTAGTCTTAAGTATTGAGCGAAGACAGATGTTAATGTGAATGTCTGTAGTTTGTTTGAGATGCTCTTTATGACGCTCCAAGTCTCTGATCCGTGTAGTAAGTAGCACTGACTTTACATTGGAGTTGAAAATCCGGATGTTACTTTCATTTTGATGCTGAGTGGGGCTGTTGACCTCCACACAGACTTGAGAGTAATGAAAGCTTGTCTTGCTTTTCCGATTCTGGCTTTGATATTCTCGTCAGTTCCGCCTGTAGTTGAAACGATGCTTCCCAAGTAGATAGGTAAAGGAGGTTGTGTCATTCAGGTTCCTCCCATATGTGCCGAAATAGGAATGAGTTAAAAAAAGATTTAATTTTCAAGTATTACTTTTGTGGGAATTTTGTTTGATTGGGTGGAGGATTTCATCATGAGCTCAATGATCTACGAGCTCGCTAGACTTGTAACCAGAAGGTTCTTGGGTTCGAACCCTGGTGGGTGCGTACTGATGAAGAGTCCCAAACTAGGCGGACGAAACAGCTGTGCATTACTCCCAGGGTTTCCAGTGGTTCTCTAACTGATGTCAGCTCATGATAAAATCCTTCATCTAATGAAAAAAGAGTTAGACGTGGTTAAATCAGAGATGGACATCAATGCATGAAGTCTTCGACAGTTGGGTCAAGCTATATTGGGAGGTGTAGACTACCTGGTTGTCATGTTCGGGTAAAAACAAATAGTTGGAGCCTTAATAAACTATGGGGTTTATCTACAGAGAAGTTTTAACATACTTGAAAATTTTACATGATATGGTTAGTTGACAGAACGTTCCACAATCAGTGAACAGTGCTCCGAAAATTATGCTTACATCATTTTTACATAGTCAGTTCAAGTTTAAACAAAATAAATGCATGCATACAATAGTAGCGGAGTTAGTTATGTAATAAAGACGAGATGTGAGTAAGGTGATGAGTGACTAATAACCTATTTAACAATATACTGAGTTCAACTCAAATCACAGAAACAAGAAACAAGCAAAGTTAAACCGTATCAAAGGTGGGTGATGTCAGAGCCAAAGATTACGTAATCGAATGAAAGAGAAAAATTCATCCAGTTACCAGGGCAAGGAAAGTCCAATAATTGCCCTGGTAACTGGATGAGTTGAACTCAGTATATTGTTAAATAGGTTATTAGTGACTCATCACCTTACTCACATCTCATCGTGGTTAAATCAGAAATGGACATCATTGCATGAAGTCTTCGACAGTCGGTTTGAGCTATATTGGGAGGTGTAGACTAACTGGTTGATATGTTCGGGTAAGAACAAATGGCTAGAGACTGTTGGTGATGTATACCTTAAACTGACAGACTAAAATATGCACCTGATTGGCAAAATTTTCAATGTAAGAAACTATATATCAGTGTAGAGCCATTGATGAAGAACTAATTGAAAATGAGTATATTTCTTGGCTCATTTTGTTGTTTTTGGTCTAACTGCGT